TCTTCCAGGATTTCATGGAACAAGTTATCAATGCCCTTATTTGTTTCTTCACCTTCTGGGATACTGATGATCTGTATGTTTGGGCATTTAATGATGTCTAGTATTACTTGTATGTTGTTCTCATTTTGGGGGGGTTATTTGTTAAGTCTTCTTGGTGAATTTTTCTAGGTCAGAGGTTCTGTCTTCTACATCTGAGAGTCGATCTTCTGCACGATCTAGTCTGCTTTGGATATTTTCAAGGGAGATTCAGATTTCCTGTATTATAGCCTTTGTCTCTAACAATTCCATTTGATTCTTTTTTATGATGTGTATCTCCTCTTTCAGATGGTGCAGGAGCTTCCTCACTTCCTGGAACTTGTCTTTTTACTCCTGCACCTTCTGGAATTCGTTGTCTCTCTTCTTATGCATCTCTGTTAGCTTTGTCACTATGAATATTTTAAATTCTTTACCTGACATTTCCATGAGTTCCTTGTATTCTCTGTGGAGGAAGAGGAGTTATTCTGTTCCCTTAGAGGAAGATACTTTCTTGATTTCTCATGTTTCTTATGCTTCTATGGTGGTATCTGGTCATCTGATGGATTATGCACTTTTTCCTAGTTTTTGGAGTTAAATCTGAGTTTTCAGAGCTATGCAGGAGGAGGTGACGTGCAGTCTCTCAATAGTCCATTTTTTTCCCTTTGCACAGCTTACTCAATGAAAATTGAGGATTTTTTTTACCCTAAAAGTATTCAGATATTTGGCTTTGAGAACCTAGACCTTGTGGAGGCTGAGCAGAAAAGCAAGAAAGGTAAAAAGAAAAAGGAAAAAGGAGAAACAAAAAAAGAAAACCAAATGAGGGACAAAAACAAGACATAAACAAACAAAAATTTTTTTTTGACAAAAAATGAAGGCTGCGCTGTGTGCTGGCATGTTAGTGCATCCTGCAAATTGGGACTACTCAGAACTCAAATATAGATGGCTGCTGATTGGCTTATCCCCTGGGGGCAGGGGGAAAGGTAAGAATTAGAAAGATAAAAGTGCAGCAGAAAGCTACGTTTAAAAATTAAAAAAAAATAAAAATAGAGCAAGAGAGATGGAAAGAGACAGAATAAGTGGGGTGTTCCAACCTGGCTCCTGGCTAGACCTGGGGAGCAGGAGGGTGAAGTCTGGGCAAAGGGTCTTCGGTGGTCTAAATCCCTGAATGGGGCCACTCAGAACTCAAAAATAAATAGATGGCTTCTGATTGGCTTATACCTGGCTGTTGGCTAGACCTGGGGAGCAGGAGGGTGAAGTATGGGCAGGGGTCTTTTGTGGTTGAAATCTAAAGTGTATTCTTTTTGGATGAACAATTCTGAGTTTTTATTAGAATGTGCAGTCATGTAAAACCACCACTATTAAGGTGTGGAATATCCCACAAAGCTTCTCATGCTGTTTTGTAATCATCTCCCCAACCATTACTCTGACTTTTGGCAACCTCTCCCCAGATTTCTGTCTCTATAATTTTGTCTTTTCTAGAATATTGTATAGAGTCATACAGCAGATAACCTTTGAGTCCTTCTTCTTTCACTTAGGATAGTATGTTTGAGATTTATTTTTTGTTGCCATTGTCACTACTGTAGTTCATTCTGTCTTGTATGGATGTTTGCTTATCCATTTACTAGAGATTGACATTGGGTGGTTTCCAGTTCTCAGAGATTATAAGTCTGAACATTATAAATCTGAACACTCTAGACATTACCATGCAGATTTTTGCGTGAACTTGTATTTTCATTTCTTAGGTACATACATAGGCATGTGATTGCTAGGTAGTATGGCAGTTGTATGCTTATCTATAAGAAGGTATAAAACTGTTTTCTGAAGTAGCTGGACCATTTTGCATCACACCACTAATCTGTGAAGGTCTCAGTTGCCCAAATACTCAGCAATATCAGATACTGTCTGCCTTCTTTTGTTTACATTATTATAGTTGCTATTTCATTGTGGTTTTCATCTGTATTTTCTTATTACTGATGATGTTGTAGGATTTTTTTTTCCATAAATATCTTTTCAATGGCAAAACGCCTATTTGAATCCTCTGCCTATTTGTAAAAATGTAATAGTGTGCTTTCTAGTTGTGAGTGGTCTTTATATATTCTAAATATGTATCAGTCCTTTTAGAAATGTGTTTTGCAAGTGTTTTCGTCTACTCTGACTTTTCTTTTTATCCTTCTTAGCTTTCAGAGAGACGTTTTAATTTTAATAAGGTTCAATTCTTCTTTTTTGTAGTTCTTAATTTTTGCGTTCTTAGGAATCTTACATAATTCAAAGTCACAAAGATTTTTCATATGTTTTTTTTGGACGTTAAATAGTTCAGTAGTTTTAGGTTTTATTTTTAGATGTGTAATAATTTCAGAATTAATATATGGTGTGTAATATGGGTTAAGGTTCTTTTTTTATCATATGACTGTCCATCCACTTGTTCCAGCATCATTTGTTGAAAAGATTTTTTTATATTTAAAAATTTTATGATTTCTCATTTACACTTAATTGTGCATCTCTATCATGTACAATATGATTTTTCAGAGTGTACATCCAGTACATGTCAGTCAAATGAAGGATATAATCATGTACATAATTTTCTTTAAAGAATTATTTAATTTTATTTTTTTATTATTATTATTAATTTGACCAGAGGGAGACAGACAAAGGGAAAGTGAGAAAGCAATCCATCAGGTATGGGACTTGAACCATGGTCAGCAGTGTGGGAGTCCACCGCCCCAACCACCATGCCACCTGCCAGCTCCCCCATATACATCATTATCAACAGAAAACTTTACATTCTTGTATCTGTTAAGTATTTCTTCCCTGAGCCCCTCCCTCCTATTCTGTATTATCCATTCTCCTCCCATATAGTGTGGTATCTGCCCTAGTCCTTCCTACTATTATATCTTTGGATCTTCCAGTTTATTCCAGACTTTTGGTGTAGTTGAGGAGAGATATACAGTGTTTGTCAAAAAAGACTACCTATTTATTTATTTATTTATTTATTTATTTTTCCCTGTTGAGTTGTCTCAGGCCTCCTTGTAGCTTAGTGGAGAAGGGAGCAGGAGCTCACTTGACCTATTGGTTTGAAAGGTATGCTGAGCATGTGTTAGTACATGCCCCAGATCCTGAAAGGATGGAGAAATGGAGAAGGGATTTTGGTGTGATCATGTCTCTTAAGGGAAGGTGTTCTTGCTCTTTCTTTCTTTCTCTGTCTTTTAAAAAGAAAAGAAAAAAAATTGCCCTGGTATCTCTGCTATACTTCAGTACGCATATACAATTAGGTTTCTTTCTGGATTCTCTCTTCTGTACTGTTCTGTGCATCACTGTTTTCACTAAGACCATACTGTTTTTCTTGCTGAAGCTTTATAGTAAGTCTTAAAATCAGGAAGTGAAATTTTCCTTTACACTTTTTCCTCCCAGAATTATTTTGGGTATTCTTGTTCCCTTGCCTTTCCAGATTAAGACGAGACATGATTTCTTGAAAGTTAGTTGAAGTTTGGAATCATTAATAATCTTTTTGTCCTTTGTAACATTATAACTATTGATCTGTCTTGCACATTGAATTATTGATTTTTTATATGTGAATTTTTTTTGTAACATCATACAACTCATTTGGAAAAATTAGTTCCCTGAATTATATAGCCCCCCCTAAATATTGGTGCATTTCATTATTCAGTATTTAGAAGTCATATTTGTTAATATCATCACTGATCTCATCAGAAAATTCTTTTTTTGGGAAGGTGTTATGCTAATGGTGATAAATACAAGTTTTTCCAAAATTCCTGCTTTTGTTTGAAAACTCAAATTTTATCATTGGCGAAGTATACTTTAAATTGCTATTCTTGAAGTAACAGGCTTGGTTTACTTTGGAGAGCATGTCTGCCAGATACTCAAGTTTGAAAGGTCCCAATTTGCTTAGTTTATAGCTTGGTCATATAGGGACTTTTTCTTGTACTACATTATGCAGCAGAATTGTTTGTGCATAGTTCCACTTCTGTCACAAAGAACGAGTCTACTGGAGGGTTGAGACTTAGTAAAAGTAACCATTTCTGGGACCAGCAGTTGGCGTAATGGTTATATCACAGGACTCCTGTGAACCGTGGTTTGAGTCCCAGACGCGGTGGCTTAAACTCATGCTGGGCGCGTGTGCGTGCGTGCCCAAGATCCCAAGAGAATGGAGGAGAAGGGAATGCTGCGTGACCATCACCCCGGGGGGTGATTTCTCGCTTTCTGTCTCTCTGTCTTTCTGGCGAGCACACATGCCCTATAGCAAAAACCTCTCCAAAAAAAAAAAAGTAAAGAAAAAAAAAGAACCATTTCTAATGGTTTCATCACGGATGTTCTGAAGGGAAACTGGAGTCCTTTGAAATCTTATGTCATATTGGCTCACTTCCTATTATGCTTATTTTTTTTAAAGAATTACTTAATTTATTTCCAAAATTATTTTTATTTATTTATTTGTTTGTTGGTTTGTTTATTTATTAGAGAGGTTTTTGCTATAGGGCATGTGCGCTCACCAGAAAGAGAGAGACAGAAAGCGAGAAATCACCTTCCATGGGGTATGGCCACGCTCAATCCCTTCTCCTCCATTCTCTTCTTGAGATCTTGGGCACGCACGCACATGTTCCCGGCGTGAATTTTAAGCCACTGGGTTTGGGACACAAACGACAGTTGACTACATGGGAGTCCAGTGACATAGCCGTTAGGCTAACTGCTGGTCCCTTATTTTAAAAAATTTTGCTATAGGACACAGAGAGACAGGGAGAGGGAAAAAGAGAAAGCAAGCTACCAGGTCCTGGTCTTGAACTACGGGCAGCCATGTGGCAATTCAGCACCTTAAACACCACACCACCTGCTGGCCCCCATTATGCTTATTTTATACTTGAAGTACCTGGAAACCTAAACTCAAAGTTATAAAACATTTTAGGTTTCCCTAAAATGTCCAAGTTGCTATCTTGGAAAAAATCTCTTAAGAACTAATATGGTATATTAAGTTGCTATTTTATTATCTTGTAGGTGCTATACTTGGAAGATCAGAAACTCAGGAATGTCTTTTCTTTAATGCTAATTGGGAACGAGACAGAACCAATCAAACTGGTGTTGAACCCTGTTACGGTGACAAAGATAAACGGCGGCATTGTTTTGCTACTTGGAAGAATATTTCTGGTTCCATTGAAATAGTGAAACAAGGCTGTTGGCTGGATGATATCAACTGCTATGACAGGTAAGGACATATTTTAGTTTTATGATGGTGTTTAGTAATTTTTATCGTCTTTTTAAAAGGGGGGAAATCAATGCATATATTTGCACTTAAATATTTCTTGGTTTCTCAAAGATGGTATGGGACTATGAAGAACATTATAAAATTCTTTAACAAGATAAACATAGCTTGTTTATGTTTTATCATTAATATATTATGAATAATCTAATAGATAGAACTCTTAGTTAAGAACTGTGGTTTTTTTTCTCTTTTTGGGGGGGAGGAGAAGTTTTTGCTATAGGGCGCGTGTGCTCGCCAGAAAGATGAAGAGAGAGAGACAGAAAGTAAGAAATCACCCCCTGGGGGGATGGCTATGCCACCATCTCTTCTCCTCCACTCTCCTCTCGGGTTCTTGGGCACCTGTGCACACGCGCCTGGCGTGAGTTTAAGCCACTGGGTCCGGGACTTGAACCACAATCCACTACCTGGGAGTCCAGCGACATAGCCATTATGCCAACTGTTGGTTCCCAGTTAAGAACTGTTTCTTTCCCCCATGTTGTTATGATTACTTTATGGTTTTTAAAAAACGAAAAGAGTTTTAAAAATTACTTTAAAAGGGAGTATACCTGTTGAAAATCTATCCTTAAGGAGAATAAAGCTTAATCGTAGTATTTAATTTCCTTTTAGTTTCCTTCTTTATGTGGCTAGAAGAAATTGATTTATTATATTTCCCCCTTTTTTTTCTTGTAAAGTTGGCCTTTGTTCTTTACCCCGAGACATTTTAACTTGACATTCAAAACTGTATCAGAACTAATATAGCCCTCATAGAAAAAAAGCTACATTTACTTAAAAGATCTTGTTTAAATTGTTTTATTCTGTACTGGAAAGAAAACAGGGGTCATGATATTGAAGCCGGTGATCTTTCTCTAAGGAGTCCCGTAGATGTTGGGTTGATCATTTAACACTCTGAGCTGCAGGATTTCCACTGGGTGTAGGTGCTGAAGGCTGGCAAAGGCTGTGAAGTCCTAGATATCTAGACATTTTGAAGCCAAGATAATGCTGCTGTATACAATCAATGCTAAATACTTGTGGATCCATTTTTAGTGACCTCACTTGGTTACCTTGAAGCTGTGATTGGTTCACTGTATGTAACTAATAGCAAAATACATTGATTAAGCCCTTGAAAATGGAGTTAGTTCTACTTGTCACGAGAAGTTAAAACAGTCTTTTAGTAGTATGTCTTTCATATTTAGGGTGCACTTCTAAGTCTGTGAAATTTTCAGGGATTATTTCTCTATACTTATACATTTTATTTCATTTCTGACTGTTTGTCTCTTACCTAACAGAAGTGGTCTTCAAGTGAGTGCTGTTACAAAAGATAAATAGGAAGAAATTGCGGGAAAAAATGAAGTTTGGGAATCTTCTTTATTCAAAACTATTTTTTTTTTCCTTTTTCCAAATTTGCCAGAGGGCTCATGTGCTGGTGAGAGAGAGAGAGAGAGAGAGAGAGCGAGCGAGCGAGCGTGAGCGAGCGAGAAAGCATTCCACATGAGGCATGATCGCACTACAGTCCATTCTCTTCTCCGATTTTGGGCATGCACAGATGCACAAGTGCCTGGCATGTTTTTCAAGCTACGATCTGGGACTCCAATGGTACAGCTAGCCATGTGGGATCCAGCTATCTTAATCACCACACCAGACAAAATTGTCTTTTATTTATTAGTTGACATCAGGGATCCCTTTCTGTGTAGTTAAAAACAATAACAAACTGATTTTGTTTCTAACCTAAAGCCACTATTTCAGTTCTGTGAAGTTCAAGTAGTGCTGAAATATGGGTAATGGATCATTTTCATTGGAAGTCTTGGAAGGTGCTTTAGTCAGTGCCAATGCTTAGACTGATAATCACTATGCTAGCTTTGCTTCTGGGGTTTAAATACTGATTTCAAAGTATGTACATTTTTGTTTTTATGCTCTAAATTTGAATGGAAAATAATAAGCATAGCAAGAGAAAGAAAGATTCAAGAAATGTCAGTGTGGGGGGCCAGCAGGTGTCGTGGTGGTTAGAGCACTGGATTCCCACATGGCCAACTGCGCTTATAGTCCTGGACCTGGCAGCTTGCTTTCTCACTTTCTCTCTCTTGTGAGCACATGTGCCCTGTGACAAATTAGAAAATGATAATAATAAAAGCTAAATTAAATAATTCTTTTTTTTTTTTTTCCTAGAGAGAGATTTTTTACTATAGGGCATGTATGTTCACGGGACACAGGTAAAGAAAGTGAGAGATCACCCCCTTGGGGGATTGGCCACCCCACAAACCTGTGTCCATTCTCTTCTTGTGATTTTGGGCTCACATGCACATGTGCCCAGTGTGTTTCAAGCTGCTTGGATTGGGGCTCAAGCTGCAGTAAGCCATATGGAAGTCTAGTGCCTTAACCACTATGCCACCAGTTGGCCCAAATACATAATGTTTTAAAATTAGTATGGAAGAAAAAACTGATATAAGAATGACATTGGATGGTGAAAAGTAATTTTTTGAATTGACTAGACTAAGTATTTAATTATGTTAATCTATAATTTGAAACCTGATTCTAAATATTAATTTTGAAATTTACACATTTCTGTTTATAAATTGTTAAAACTTAGCTTTTGTTTGTGTTTTTACATTCTGCTAAATAGGTATTTGTATAGATTGTATTTAAGCAATTTCTTTAGCTTTTCATTTTAGAGATTAACTCAACCATATTATTCTAGTGACCATTACAAACGTTTGGTTTTGTTTGTAAAATACGTCTTTAAGTTCATCTGATGTTTACCAGCAATATTAGAAAGTTTGGGATCAGCAGATGGCGTAATGGCTACATTGCCGGATTCCCATATAGTTGACTGTGGTTCAAGTCCCAGACCCGGTAGCTTAAACTCACACTGGGCACGTGTGCTTGTGTGCCCAAGATGAGAATGGAAGAGAAGGGATTACAGTATGGCCATCCTTCCTGGGGGGTGATTTCTTACTTTCGCTCTCTCTCTGTCCCTCTTTGTCTTTCTGTTGAGTGCATATGCCCAATAGCAAAACCTCTCTTAAAACAAAACAAACAAACAAAAATCCAGAAAGTTTGATTTTTTTTTAATAAGTAAAGCTGCTTTTTAATGTTTAATTAGCTAATCTACAGGATGAAATCAATGTCTTTTCAGATATTTCAGTCTTATGCAGAAGGCTACTTTTTTTTTTAAAATCATCCTAATTCTAATCAAGTTTGAATTATTAGAATCTATGTATTTGTTCTCAGCCTGTTGCTTATCTTAACCCTGTTCATTACATTCAGAGAATTTAAATCTGCTGTAAAGAAAATAACACTATTAATTCCTAAGCCTAGTTTGAGTCTCAGATGTTGAAATATGTTTTGCTCGTGAGCTTGCTTCAATTAGTGTGTATGTATATGTATGTTTATGTACTTATCAACTTTTTAATATTTGAAGTGGGAAAGCTGTATTTCCTGTGAGTATAAGTGCTCCCAAATTGCCCCTTTGACTTTCTATTCCTCTTCAAGCTTCCCTGATAATTAAAAAAAAAAAATCGAAAAAGGTAGTTGCTTTAGATTGTTCATTTGAAAGCTGTAGTCTTTTAAAGATTTATTTATTTAATTTTATTTATTCATTCATTTATTTTAATTTCATCATAGACACACACACACACACACACACACACACACAGAGGGAAAGTGAGAAAGCAAGCCAGCAGGTCTAGGACTTAACCACTGTCGGGCATGTGGGAGTGTCTAGCACCTTAACCACCACGCCACCTGCAGGTCCCCAAAACCTTAGTCTTAAGGAGTCGATTTAATTGTTATAAAATCATCTGTTCTTTGTTTTTTTTTTTTTTTTTTTCCTCAGTGAGATTTAGTAATAGGAATCCAGGAACACCTTTTGATTTTAAGAGTTGATCATTGGATGTTACTAAAAATCTTGAGGTTGAATATAAATGACTCATTCATTATTTCATCTCTGAGACGAAAAATGCCTATTGTATGGCATGTACTGTAATGCTGTAATTTAATAATTTTAATTATTTCTCTCTTTGTTTGTAGGACTGATTGTATAGAGAAAAAAGACAGCCCTGAAGTTTATTTTTGTTGCTGCGAGGGCAATATGTGTAATGAAAAGTTCTCTTATTTTCCGGAGATGGAAGTCACACAGCGTAAGTTTATAGGGGAAATACATAGGCTTGTTCACCTGGTAGATTGAAAAACAAAGTATATTTTGTGTTGATGGACTCGTTTACTCCTGATTGCTCATAATTCTGTTTTTCCCAATAATTGATGCTACAATAAATACTTATTATAGAGTTTTGTAGGCCAAATCTGAGTTGTTTCTCCCTCCCTTTCCACAGCCACTTCAAATCCAGTGACGCCTAAGCCCCCCTATTACAACATCCTGCTTTATTCTTTGGTGCCGCTTATGTTAATTGCGGGGATTGTCATTTGTGCATTTTGGGTGTACAGGCATCACAAGATGGCCTACCCTCCTGTACTTGTTCCAACTCAAGTAAGTTATTACCCTGTACTTTGTGCTATTTTGAATTTTGTATTTTCAAAAAACATTGTGATGAAAGCTACTAGGTTGTTAGAAGTTGTTTTCTTTTGCAGTTAATTTTTTATTACTTACTGTCATGGAGACCATTAATTTGCTATGTCCTAAACTTTTCTCACTTAAGGGCTGAGGTAGAGTTGAATGAGAGTAATTCCCATGCTTCTTATTCTTTGGAGAGTTTCACTTTCATTCTAATACCTTTAAGTATGAGGAACACCATGCTTTGCTTCTTGAGATATAATGAATTATGAAGAAGGGATACCATGACCCTTTCTCCTCTACCCTTTCTTCCACTCCAAAATTTCTGTGCCTTTTTGAAGACTATTTGCCAAAACATTCTTTTAATCATGGAGATGGATCCAGCAAGATGTCTCAGAAAGTATGAAGAGGGGCTTCATAAGACTTCAGAAAGATATTTCTAAAAATTTTGTTTTTAGGAAAGAGGCACAAAAGAACACTATTTCTTATATCATGTGTTGTTGGTAGTTCAAATGTATTTTTTTGTTCATAGCATATCAAATGTGTACTGAAGACTAAAACCTTCCTTAATGCTCTTGATTCTCACTCACCCCACTACAAATGTTTCTGAAACTGTAGGTGTGGATAATCAGATTAAATTCACTCAAGTTTCTTCATTTTTTATTATATAGACAGTTGTCACTGGTCCAGTGATTTATAAGGACTTTTCATAAAAGTATTTGGTATTCTTTATGCCCAGGAAAACTTTTTAGTGTTTAATATATCTATTACTCTAAGTGACCATAGGATACGTTTTACCTTATGTCAGTGTAATATTTTTACTTGCTTTAGACATCTTTGTATTCTAGGCTTTACTGTATTTCTTTAACTCAGGATCAGATTACTTGGTCTTTCTGGACCTCTTGGTTTAACTTTGTTTCTCTAATATCAGGAGAAATAATGATTGTAGCTTGTTAAAAGAAAATAGTAAAGTCCTATAATTTAATGACCGAAACAGCTCGTCCTGCTAAGCTTTATTTACATAATACACTTCTTTCTCAGTACTTGCAGCAGTCTGTTAGCATTAGATCATTGATCCCCATAATCTCTGTTAGATGTGTACATGGAGCAGTACACTCAAAGATAAAATACCCTGTTCAGAAAATTAGGTAAACACACGGCTTTGAACAGTTGAAATATGTCAACTTTTAAACATTAGTAGCTAAATTTATGTTTAAAATCATTTGTATAAAGTATTTTAGAGTAACATTTTTACTGTTTAATACATCTATTTATAGTTTACTCTAAGTGACCATAGGATATGTTTTGCCTTATGTCAGTGTAATTTCTTATTTAGGTTTTTGCCACAGGGTGTGTTTGCTCACCAAAGAAAGACAGAGAGAGGTAAAGCAAGAAATCATTCTATAGGGGGATGGTCATGCTCAATCGCTTCTCCTTCATTCCTGTTGCAGGATTTTGGACATGCATGCACATATTCCCCATTTGACTTTCAACCCTCTGAGTCTGGGACTCAAACTGGAGTCCACAATGTGGGAATCCAGGACTTTAACCACCACACTGTCCGCTAGGGCCATGTGTCATTTTACCTTTTTAAAAATTTGCTTTAAATTCTAAATTTAGAAGAGCAAATATTCAATGCTATAACAGTTTCCAGAATTTGCTCTTGATATGTGGCATGAAAGAAACAAGCTGGAAACTACATTTATAAATAAATTTGTTAAGGCTTTAATAGAAGGAATTTTTAAATAGGAGTATAATTTTGTAGATAATTTGTGTAGATATTGATACAAAATTGTGAATAAGGCATTTTTAAAAGAGCTTGATAATCTAAATGAGATCACTTTATTTAGAAATACTAATTAAGGGACCAGCAGATGGTGTAATGGTTACGTTGCTGGACTCCCACCTGGCCAGTCGAGGTTCGAGTCCTGGATCTGGCAGCTTAAAACTCACGCCGGCACATGTCCATATGTGGCCAAAATCCAGAGAGGAGAATGGAAGAAAAGGGATTGCAGTGTGGCCATCACCCCAGGGGATGGTTTCTCACTTTTCTCTCTCTCTCTGACTCTCTGGTGAGAGCATATGCCCTATAGCAAGAAAGTCTTGAAAAGAAGAGAAGAGAAAAAGTAATTAATTAATTCAGTGGTTTAGATTATTTAAAAAGAAAGATGTCATTTTTCATAAGTAAGAACCATGGTTCTCCTGCTGGTGTCCATCTCTTTGAGTTTTAGATATTTGTTGCTACAGTTAACAACATTGTGCACAGTTGTTTACTACTCACATCACTGTATCATGAATTCACATGAATTGTATCAGTTGCTGAAAAATAAGACATTTGTTTGAAGAATTTGTGATGGAGTAACCTGGCAAGCATTGTTATGAAAAAGTGGGAATAAACTTGGCTTTATGTTTTCCTTCTGTCATAAACTGTTGTGGAAGGGGGGGTATTGCCATCAATGTAGAACATCGTTTTGCCATCTCTTGCTGTCTTTGAAAAACTGGTTTCATACTTTAAGTCTTATTTTTGGTGAGAAGTTTATGCAGGCTATAGTTCTATAGTACTACTTAGTAGCCATGTTTTTTAAAATACTTATTTTATCTTTTATTAAAAATAATGAATATTACATCAAGTATTTATCGAACATTTACAGTATACTAGGGTACTGTAAGTTACACTATGCATAAATATATAATACAAAATGTATAAAAACATAAATATATAGGATTTATTTTTTCAGTGATTTCCAAATTGTGAGAATAACATATAAAGGTCATGTTCGGAATTTGTTAAAAAATAGAAATTCTTGGGGCAAAGAGGAGGCACGGTGATTACAGCACTGGACCTCCCGCATGGCCAACAGCAGTTTGCATCCCAGACCTGGTGGCTTGGAAATCATGCCAGGCATGTATGTGTGCATGCCCCAAATCCCAGAAGAATGGAGGAGAAGGGATTAGGTCATGACCATCTCCCCTGTCTCTCTGATCAAGCACATGTACCCTATGGCAAAAAACCTTAAAAAAAAAAAAAAAAAGAAAGAAAGAAATTTCTGGACTACACTCCTTAAAGTATGGAATGGGACCCGGGGCAGTATGTTTTTAGAGAATTACCCAGGTGATTCTGAGCACCAGCCACATACGAAGAGCACTGATTTGATTTTACCTTACAGGGTTATTTATGTGGTAGAATTTCCATGGTATCAATAAAAATATTGGGAAAGCAAAGCTCACAAGTGTCAGACCTAGGATGTGGACCAAGAACTCTCTGATTCTGAAACTTTACTCATATAGCCATGCTGTTTTGCCCTCCCCCCCCCCCCCCCGCAGAAAGCATGTTTCTGGTGTTTCATATAATTCAGTAAACATCCCTGCTATCTCAAAATCATTCTGTAGGCTAATTTATTTTCCTACTTTTGCATCTTGACTAGTTGCATGACAGCTACAGAAGCAATAACATCTCATCTATGTACATGTAAACATTGTATACATAGGACAAAAGGAAAGTAAGGAAGTCATAGATATATAAAAGGGCATATCCTTGTGCTTTTTCATGAAAATGTAATTTTTAAGCACATTTTAGAATAGGGTACATGGAACACACGATTGTTTTGAAGGTGAAAATTCCTGTACCTCTGACTTGATTCTGCCAGTGCCTGTTGGTTCAAGACTTGTAGAGGGTAAGAGTAGACAGAAGAGACATAGCATACATTTGAAGTCTTAAGCTGATGGCATCTGTTTTTCACCCTCATTTATGTTCCCAAGTTTTTAATTCTAAGACTAAGTAGGG